GTTTTTTTTTTAATGAATTCTAGCTCAAATTTTTTTTATGCAATTTGTTTCATGTATTGATTTGATGCTTAAATGACATAATGTTGTATGTGGTTAATATCAAATTTTGCTCTAGATAAAATATTTTTTGATGCTATGTGTTTCATGCAATATATAAAATTTGTTGTTTGTAATAGGATTGTTTTTTTTTTTTTAATTTTGCTATGCGATTCATGTATGCACGTCAATTTTAATTTTATAAATTTTAAGCTTTAATTTATGTTTGCAACAAAAATCAAACTTTGGGGTCCTTGGACACCTGTCATGAAATTTGAATGTTGTTACTATACATACATATTTGACATTTTTTGTTTTATTAAACAATTTTGTTTTGCGGTTATTATCTAGTATTTTAAATAATTTTTTTTCATACAAAAAGGTTCCTTTATTGAATAAGTTAGTTCATGCTGATTTAAATGTATAACTGTGTACTTATCGTGTTAAATTTTGAGTTTGCATACAATGTTAATTTTTTTGGTAGCGGTATTTTGTCAGAAGCAATTTTAGTGATAATTTGTGATAGTGTATTAATTTTAAGTGGCTGTGTATTACTGAACAATGATATCATTGGAATTAATGCTTGTTAAGATATGGATAGAGATGGTTGTTTGAATATTTTCCCTGAGAAATTATGTTGAAACTTAACTTTGTTTTGCTTATGTTGTTTTGTTCTGTTATATGATTGCTAATTTTAATTTAAAATTTTCTAGTGTTTCGGTTAGGCGTTTCAATGCTCATTTAATTTTTGTGTTGTTTGATTTGCTATAGATTTGGAATTTTTTGGTTTACTCAGGGCTCTAGTTTAAATTGTGGTTTGGTTAAATTAATGTGCAGTCAATAATTGTGTCTCGCTTGTGTGCTAAACTGTACTAGGAATTGAATGTTTTGTTTGATGTCGATATAGTACTTCTATTGGGTTAGATTAATTGTGGTTTGGTTAAATGAATGTGCAGTCAATCATTGCGTCTCGGTTGTGTGCTAAACTGTACTAGGAATTTAATGTTTTGGTTGATGTTGATATAGTATTTTTGTTGATTTAGGTTAACTTGTTTTGATTAATGGTAGCGCTTGGGTAGATTATTGAATTGAGTGTTGAGGTTGATTTATTTTTTTTAGGGTTTTGGATTTTAATTGTAGTTTTGCATTGTTATTTGGAAATAAGTTTTGGGTCAGATAATGGTATTGTTAAATTTTATGTTTTGTGTACGCGTAGTTGTGTTAGCTTTGAGTTTGGTTTTGGCGAAGAGAAGAATTTTGATTTAGTATTGTTGTTTTAGATTTTGAGTTGATATTTTTTTTTTGGTTTGAAAATGTTGGAGATGATTAGGTGTGGAATTTTTTTTGTTTTATTAATTGTTAAAGGAGTTGGATAAGTTGAGTTCAGGATTTTGTGGAATATTTGAGAAAGTTATTCGAAGGAGATAGAAAAAATTTTAAACTGATGAATTTGTTGAATAATTGGGAAAGTTTTTTTTTATGCAGTTAGATAAGTTTGCGTTCGCAAGTATGTGGTTAATTCGAGAGTCAATTGATTTGGAAATGGAAAATTTAGTTGTAATTATTATACGGTATATTTGAGAAAGTTGTTTGATGTAGAGAAGGTAATTTGAGTTAAGGATTCTGTATGATTTCGAGTAATTAAGTAGATGAACATAGATAAGTTGAATTAATGATTGTGTGGTATATTTCAGAATGTTTTGAGATGAATCTAGGAAAGTTCGAGTTGAGGATTATGTGAGATTTTGTGTAAATAAGCTGATGCAATGATGGGTTTTTAGTTTGGTATTGTGGAAAAGTCGATTAATTAATTGGAAGTTGCAGATAAGTTTAGTTAGTGTTATAGAATGATATTGGAGTTGTTAATTCACCGATTATCGATGGATTGAGTTAGCGGTATTGTTGAAAATTGAGGATCTTTGTGTATATATGTTGCGCGTATAGTGAAACATTTTGAGTTTTTTTAATTATCTAGAATTGATACATTTTATGACATAGAATGTTAAAAAGTTATGTTCATTAGTTAAGTGATTTTTTTGGGGGAATTGTGTTTAATTACGTGTAGCACTTGCAATAATTTTGTTTTTGGTTTTTTTTGTTTTAGTTAAATTACTTGACTCTGTATGTGTCGCCTCATATGTCATGGGTTGCACTATCAATTTTATGTTTATAATTTTTTTTTCTGAAATTTTCAACTGCATTTGCGTATTCATCGATATAGATATTTTTTTTATAATCGGATTTGCATGGTTTTTTTTTCTTTCTGCCTTTGTAAACATTGGGGATGCATCCTGATCAAATGCACACTCATCGTTTGCGATTCTAAATTTAATTACAGTAAATATTTTTTTTCTTAATTTCAAATTGTAACCAATGCTTGTAGTGAATTTTTTTAAATTCCTTAGGCTACTAAGCATTCTTAGAGATTACAAATTTTTTTTTCACCGCTTACACTATTCGCTTCAATTTATAGATTTTAATTTGCAAATCTGAATTACATTTATTTTTTTTAAACTTTCAATTGTAACCAATGCTTGTAGTGAATTTTTTAAAATTTCTTAGGCTATTAAGCATTCTCGGAGGTTATATATATAAATTTTTTTTCACCTATGCACACCAATCGTTTCAATTTCTAATTTTTCTCTTTAAATTAATTTTTTTTACGAAAGATTGTTATCGATGCTCTTGGTGAACCACTGCAATTTCTTATGCTTTGAGTACTGTTGAAGGTTAAAATAGTAATTTTGTTTGGTGGTCTGGGACATGCACTTCACATTAATCGTGTCAGGATTTCGATGTTAAACGATTATGAGGTGTCTGTTTCTAGGTGCCATGTTTGTATTGATTATATATGTTTTCACTAGTACTTATTTCTTATCACAAAGTATTTTGTTCGATGCGCATATGTGTGGTTATTGTGAGTAGCGAAGCTGTTATATATGCAATTTTTGATTTTACTATGCGTTACTCGTCTTATTTTTTTTTATTATTTAGTGGCACATGTTTCTTTGTGATTATTCGATTATTTCTATTTGTTATTTTATATATGTTGTCCTTGTGAATTGTTTGGTGACCCATATCTCATTCGGCAATTTTTTTTTCGTACATGAATTTAATTGAAGTTGTTAGTAGTTAATTTGTTTTTCTCTCTCCTTTCGCAACGTTTAAGGAATTAGGGTTAACATGCAGTTTTCTTGTTGGTTGTTTTTTTTGTGTGTGCAAAATAGAATTGTTTAGACAATGCTCCTTGAAATTTTTTATGTTGAGTGATTGGAGGACGAGATGGGGACCTCGGGTATCTGAAAGCCCTGTGGAAGAGTGGAAAATTTTTCTCCCTATTTTACATACTCTACTGATGCTGGCTCTCCTACGAGAGTGTTCGTGTTTTCTCTCTTTCAGGACATCAAGCCATGGTTGTTTCAGGTGCATTGGATCTAGTTGTATCACGAGATTAACCCCGTCGAGAGTCAGATTTCTGGATGTACCCCTTGCACCATGGGCAGAACCCTTACAAGATTCAAACAGCACCGGGTTACTACTACAAGACCGATGAACTGTTACGCTGTTTCAACAAGATTACGACGCTCCGGACATCATCTCTGGATGTACCCCCTTGCACCATGGGCAGAACCCCTACAAGATTCAAACAGCACAGGGTTACTACTACAAGACCGATGAACTGTTACGCTGTTTCAACAAGATTACGACGCTCCAGACATTTTTTTTTCTTTCTCTCCCATCAGGACGTGGACAGCCGTTCGTGAACCAGGAGTCTGTGAATCAGGAGTCCGTGAACCAGGAGTCCGTGAGTGCCTGTTGAAAGCAAGACGAGTCTGTTGGAACTGCTAATATATATTTTTTTGTACTTTGATATGGACATTTTCCTCAATGAATTTTTCTTGTGTTGGAACTGCTGACACTATTGCATTTTGTATTTACATTTACTTCACTGAAATTTTTGTGTTTCTTTATTTCTAGTTTTGTTAATCTGAAATAGGGGAGGAGTGATAGGAGGCCGCCGGTCCCCAAGATACAATTGCAGTTTTTACATTTGCCCTGTTTACAGGAAACGGATTTCTAAGGAATTTGGGGGTGCCTCAGGTCAACGGACTCTATGGCGGGCAAAGCTGTATCCTTGCACAGCTTGTTGGCCAATCGGATTTGTAAAATTTACCGCCAGAACTTTGAAGCGGATGATTTTCCGAGTGGTGCGGTCGCCCTTTATAAGGGTTGGCGCGCGAATTCTCGGGGCTTTTTACTCCCTCTTACGACTGCCAGAAAAACTCTGCAGCCGGGAAACGCAATCGCTACCCAAGGTCACCCCTCCGTCACTCTCTCCCTCTCTCAAAGCTAAGTAGAATTTTGTTATGCGTCAATTTGTATACATTAACTCAAATTTAATCATGTCATTCAAAAAATAAATTAATAGTTATTTAAAGATCCGGCCTTTTAATTTAGAGTACTGTTTTATTGTCTTTAGAGATTTAGTGTTTAATTTTTAACTAAAGCCATGGTGCGATGTGTTAGTCGGACCTGGGTATTAGAAAATGAGTATTTGAAAATAATCTATTAAGTTAAACCAGCGTCGCATCAATATGTAAATATTGTGTGTGTGTGTGTGATGCATATTTTTTCAGATATATGTTGAAATATGTTGCAAAACCAAAAGATATAAGTATAATGCGGTTTTTCAATTCCTATTATAGTTCACACTCTCGCTCTCTCTCTATATATTATTTATTTATCTATACATATATCTAGCTCAAATTTTCAATCGTTAATAAAGTACTTTTTTATTCATCCAATAAAGATGAAATACATTTTGTTAAACTTGTAGTGGATGACACTTGATCGTAATACAGTTTTAAGAAATAATCATTTATTGATTAAATTTAATTAATAAATAAATAGTAAAGAAAAATATTAGTTCAACACCATATATAAAAAGAAAAATCGCGCCTTTTGTTCCAGTAGCGTAATTGTTAGCACGTTGGACATTTAATCCAATGTCGTGGGTTCAATTCCCACCTGGGATGGACTAATTTCTGAGAATCTGATTATTTTCTATACTCTTTTATTTGAATAATTAGATTCAATTAATGAATATATATTAGCAAACAAAAATAATAGTCCAAAAACCATAGATAGAAAGGAAAATGGAAAATTGCAAGGAAAAAAGTTCATTTGTATTTTGCTACTTAATATTGTAATTCTGTCATATGTAAATACATATTATACAGTGTCAAATGTATATACATATTCATATTAATTGTAAGTAATTAATAAAAAATAACTAAAATAAATGTTTTCTTTGTGGAACTAAGTAGGAATTGACAATTTATATACATATATATATATTACTTGTTTAATTAGAAATCAGTGGAAATGAAAATGTAATTTGATGATGCATATTATGTAAAGTAATGTGAACTTTCTTTATTTATAAACTAAAATATAAATTTGATATAAATAACATTATTAGCCTTCTGAAAGCTTGAATATTCTACGCTTTTTTGTTTAAATTATATGTCATAGCAATTATAAAAAATGCTAATGTAAGACTGATTAGACTTTCAATAATGTCGAGGAGACGATATTCTATGAAAAGTTTGTCTGCCAGCCTACAATACAAGATGTTTAAAGATCGTTTTTTATTATTTTTATTTATTTTTAAAAAAAAGTTGAATTCATTTGATTCACTTTAAATGCAAATGCACAGATCCCTTATGAGTACACATAATGTTACTCAGATTTGTAAATAAAAACAATTGTAATTGTTTTCCAAAGTCATCTTTTCCAGTAAACCTAAAAAAAATGTAATATTTATTAAATGCTTCTTTTAAAAAAATACCAGCATATGCTATTTTATTCTTGTATAATATGTCTCTTTACTTGAAAACTTTTATTTTTTTTTCAGAAAAATAAAGTATTCTTTACTAGTAACAAATACTCGATTTGATTTTAAAACATTTTATGAAACCACTTAGACATTTTTAAAAGAAATTCATTTGTGATTCTTCTGCAATAATAAATGACGAGTACAAACACTTAAGTCTTTAAATACAATTATTGTTTAAATATATTAAAGAATATGTTTTTTCAAAAAACAAATAACTTTAAAACATTTTAAGTCAATTCCTAATTAAGTCAAAAAAGAAAAAAAGTTTTTTTTAGTTAATTGAATTTCATTAATGAAAAAATTTTTGAAAAAAATTGTATTGACAACAAGTTTCATTCAGTACAAAACTAAAAAAAATATTTTGAATTCCAGAAATAATTAGTTAGGAAAACTTAATGGTGCCATCTGTTGGTTCTAGTTCTACCTTCGTCAGAAATAACGAATAACGCATTCTGAATTAAAAAATAAATTTAAGTATTGAATCAATATTTGAAAAACTGTATAACATTAAGTGTCATCCACTTTAAGTTTTAAGAAATGTGTTTGAAGTTCAGTGGACGAATAAAAAGTATTTATCAACGATTGAAAATTTGAGCAAGGTATATATATATGTAAATAAATAAATATATGTATATATGAATAGGGAGAGAGTGAAGTAAAAGTAGGAATTGAAAAAATTGAACTAAACTGTATTCGAAAAGTGTTTTAAATCCTTCTTAATAGACGCTTTTTATATCTGAGAATCTACAGAAAAGAAGTCTCTACATTTCAAGTGTTTTAAAAAACGAAACTTCGCGTAAGAAATTTAGAAGCACTAATGAGAGAAACAAGCTTATATTAATCTAATTTACTTCAATTGTGTTTTCATCTTACGTTTTCTTTTTCTCGAAAATCCGCTGTTCCTTATCACAAAAATTCTTTCTTTCCACCCTAAATAAATTCTTTTCCACGAAACAAACTAAAATAATGGTTGCATTAAGCCTCCCAAAAGGGAATTTATTTCAGAATCGTCTCAAGTTTTTCTGGAAAACAAAACAATAAAAGAGTCCCACGATGGAATCGATAAACTAATTACATAGAAAACTTTGACAGGTTTTTCAACTCGACAAACAAAATCAATGGTCTTCAAGATGAAAAGGGAACTTATCTCAATTTTTTTTATTCCAAATTCCAGTTCTGAAAGACTTAAATGCAAAGGGTGGGAGGGTCATTCGGAAGAGAGCGAAAACCCATACTTTATGGAGAATCACCGATTTTAATACCCTAAAACTCCACCACAAATTCATGACTAGAATACGATCGAAGCATTCCTTTCTCTACATGCTGATGTGCTGCTCTTCAGCGCTTCTTTTTGGAATAAAAAGAAGGGGAAAGTGTAATTCCATTTTAAGTTTTCCATTGGCGAAGATAATTCCCATTTCCATTTAACTGCATTCAATTATTTGCTCGCAATTCGAGCGCAATCATGTGATTGCAGTTTCTCTATTCGTTCTACCTTTATCTCCATTTTTTTCTGGAAAATTCGAAGGATAAGTACTTTTGTATTCTCCATTTATTTGTAAGACATCGAGGATCCGTTTTTCCCTTTATTTTTGAATTACATATGTGTTTAAATTAACTTCTATTATTTTCATTAGTTCAACGTATGAAATCAAAATTGGAGGATTTCGTGTAGCTTATTGTAATAATATTTTTATTATGCACTGTGTGTTGATGGTAATACTGTTAACTTTATGACGTAAGCATTTATATTGTAATTTTTTTTCATAATATCCTTTCTATTTATAACTGTAAGCCAGTGAAAATTTTTACCTTTAAGACCCAGTTCACCCAATAATGAGCACGTTGTGTATGTTAGGCCATTCGTATTCTCAAAAAACCCAAAATATATTTATCTTTGATCCAGATACTTCTGTTTATTAACACTATACTGACCCCAATGATTATAGAAATTTTTTTTAAAAAAAAATCGCTCCCCCTTCGGAATGTGGAACGATCCAGCGCGAATTTACGAGCTGGGACTAAAAGGGTTATTTAAATCTAGTCAGATTAATAGAATAAAGACAAAATTAATTTAGAAACCATTTTAAGGTATCCGACTACGTTCAGAATGTTGATTTTGCAAAAGCGTATCAATGGATAATACTTATGATATTTAGTGTCACTTAGATTAAAAAAATGTATATAAAATTGTTTTAAGAATATTATTACAATAAGAAATTAATTAAGTACAATATTTTGACAAAGAACATAAAATGACCAATTTTCAAAATGTTCTCCTTTTGCAAAAAATGCTTCTATTATAATAATATTTTGCCTCTATATAGCTCAGACCTTATCTACAGAGGCTTAACTGGAATTTTTGAAATATATAACTTAGAAGTGGGTTTAGTCATATTTTGCGACAACAAAGAGGAGCAATTTTAAGAAAAAAACGCCGATAATTATTTCAGTTGGTGGTAACTCTGAAAATAATGTAAATTTTTCAAAATTCTTAGTTGAGGCTCTGTAAAGAGGTCTGAGCTATATACAGGCAAAATATTGTCATAATAGAAGCATTTTTCACAAGAGGAGAATATTTTGTGAAAAACGATTATTCTAAGTTAATTTTTTGCCAAAATATTGTATTTAAATAATTTGTTTTGTCCAAATGTCCTTAAAACAATTTTATACATATATTCTAATCTAAGTGACACTAATTATCATGAAAAGTACCCATTTTTGCGCATTTTTAAAATCACGGTTCCGAACGTAGTAGGATACCTTAAGAAATAACGAGATTAAACCAACGTCATGCAACTATTAAAAAATTACATTATGTCAATATAATCATAAGTAAAACCTGTGATAGAGTATTTATGTAAGCAAAAAAATAACGAAAATGGGAATATCTTAGGAATAAAAAGGAAATTTAGATTTAGGTTATATAAAATGGAAGATATATCTTATTCTCAAAGTAGATTACATTACACCCTTTTTTAGATTCCACGTCACTGTTGAATCATGGGTAATGAGTTTGCTGACACACTGGCCAAGGCTGGCACTATCCTTCCCCAACCAGATTATCATTTACGTTTTATCAAAGTATCAAAAGAATCATCAGTGCTAGATTTAAGGTTAGTTTTCAAGAGAAGTTTTGGGATTCTGTGAGAGGAAAGAAATGGAGCTCTTGAATGGAAGGTCGCACTCCTTGAGACCTGTTGCTGTCTCTCCCTTCAGAATCACAATGGGACAGGACTACCTCATAAAATACAGATTCGGTTTAAAAGATTCTTCAGCTTCCAGACTCAAGGATGTATAAGCAGCTATTATTGGCATAAATCATTGAAGATTTTATTGTATCTCTAAAATGTATGTGTTTATACCAGATATAGTCTAGTGGTGGTAGTCATATCTAAGTCTAGCGTAGGATTAAAGAAAAGATTATATTGCTTAAAAATCTAAAATATTCAAAAACAAATTCTTTTCTTTTTAACTGGTAAGTTTGTGTACTTTTTACTGATTAATTCATCACCTAAGTAATTTTTATTCATCGTTATTTAAATTCTTATTTAGATGCAACTGATCAGACTATCATTCATTGCTTCTCAATTACGTCTATTGTTTAATATTAAAATTATTATTTCAATTTTTATTTAACACGTGAGATTATTTAACAATAAAATATTGAACGTTAATTTGTTAATGTTTAGAATAATTTAAATGTTGATTGGAAGACAACATACAAATTTTTATCAATAACGACAACATAAGACACTTATTCAAACTTCTACAAAATGTTTAAGGTATCCGACTACATTCGGAACCGTGATTTTGCAAAAGCGTGTAAATGGATAATATTTATGATAATTATTGTCACTTAAATTAGAAAATGTATATAACATTGTTTTAAGAATATTATTACAATAAGAAATTAATTAAGTACAATATTTTGACAAAAAATGAACATAGAATGATCCATTTTCAAAATATTCTCCTTTTGTGAAAAATGCTTCTATTACAGTAATATTTTGCTAGTATATAGCTCAAACCTGTCTACAGAGACTCAACTAGAATATTTGAAATATATAACTTAGAAGTGGGTTTATCCATATTTTACGACAACAGAGAGAAGCAATTTTAAGAAAAAACGCCGAT